GTGTCATCTAGTGGCTACAGTAAATTGACCTTTGGAGAAGGGACCAGGCTATCTGTGCATCCGTGTGAGTATGACCAGGTCTAAAGCACCTGATGATTTGTCGGTGAGAAAATAGGCAATGATTTATGAAAAACTCAAAGATATATGAAACACTCATTTTCCATCTCTACAAGCTCTCTTGGTGACTTAAAATGGTCCCATTTCTCATATTAAAGGCAGAAATGCCAAGAGCCAACTGAGTAAATGAAAATCTGTGCAGAATAATTTACAGAAACATAAAAAGAGTTCCAGATACTCGGTGCTTTCAAGCAAAACCAATAGTATCAGCACCAGATAATCTGAACATTCAGGAAATTAGCTAAGTGCCCTTGGGGGAAAGAGATGAGTTAATGGCACGCACAAATACCCTTTTATTGCAGCAGGTAGCTAAAGTCCCTGGACTGACTAATGAGTAAGGTGCCAGGATGTCTGTTCATGGAATCTTCCTCTATGGAGGTTAGTGGAGTTTTGAACTCTCCCCCAAAGGTAAAAGTGACCTAGACCCCTATCTGAAGAACTATTGTTGCTATTGTTAGGTGTCATTGGTCAGCTCCCACTCCTGGTGACCTTATGTATAACAGAACAAAACATTGTTGTCGTGAGAAACAGCAAGGTGTAGAAGCAATATGGGATAGGACTCAATAGCACCGCTTGGGAGGCTAACAAACCTGGGGGGAATTCTGGCTCTACCTTCATCAGCTATACCTAATAAAAGCTCCACTTTCTCAATAGCAAAATTATAATAATCACATCGTAGTAATATGAGACAATGACTGACATATAGCAAGTAATAAATAACGTTGTTGTTGTTGTTATGTGCCACCGAGTCATAGCGACCCCTCCTTGGGTTTCCGAGGCAGTATCCCTATGGAAGTAGATTGCCCAACCTTCCTTCCAAAGAGTGACTGGTGGGTTTGAACCATCAACCTTCTGGTTAACAGTCAAGTGCCTTAGGCACTACGCTACCAGAGCTCCTAATAAATAATAGCTTTCTAAAATAATAATAGTAGTAATTATTGTTATTATCATCATCATCAAGCCTTTGCTATGCTAAGGTATACATTATTGTAAAGGAAAAGGGGAAAGTCTTCCTTGAAAAGTAGGAGATCTAAGAAACAAAAACCCAGGAAACCACTTAGGATGGTGCTCTGAGATCCTGATAACCCTAGTGGGTTAGCATCAGGAAAGTTATTACAAAGATCTTACCTACAGTGGGGATACTAAGCTGATCTTTGGAGCAGGAACCAGACTAAGGGTCCAGCCAAGTAAGTAGAGTGGGACAAGGGTGGATATTGATAATGAATTCTCCTTTTTCCAAGATATTAAGTTGAGCTCAGATGTTCTCTTCTGAAGGATCCTAGATAATTCTTTCCACCCATCCCTAGAAAATCCTCCCATCCAGCATTCAGTGCTTTGGAAACATTGTACTTAGGCTAGGACCTTAGGAAGGAGCTCTGGTAGCGTAATGCCTAATGCACTTGACTGCTAACCAGAAGGCTGGTGGTTCAAACCCACCAGACACTCCTCAGAAGGAAGGTTGGGCAATCTACTTCTGTAGTGATACTGCCTCGGAAACCCAAGGAGGGGTCACCGTGAGTCAGGTCTGACTCAACGGCACGTGACAACAACAGCAGGACCTTAGGAATCACCTTAGGCAGGGAATGAGCAAGTAGTCCTGCCTTCCAAAAGGATCCAAGACATGGCTGCCCCGAACAGAGGTTTTTGCGTCCTAGATTTTTGGTTTATTGATATCACAGTCACCAACCCAGAGCACAATGGTAGGATAGGGAAGGAGGGGAAGGATTGAACCACCAGAGACAAACTCTAAGTCCAAAGGAGCAGAAGGTCCTTAATCCTAGAAGTGTGATTCTCCTGTCCCCTATGGGCAGCCAGTGCTTCTCCTATTTAAGGAGTAGGTAGACAGGTCCAGTGAGTTTCAGTAATGGCATCACTTGCAGTGTGAATACTGGAGGAATGGCTGGTAAACTCATATTTGGGAAAGGGACTCAAGTGACCGTAATATCTGGTGAGTCTTCATTTTGTAACCCCATTGGCCAGTGTCATAATATTTTCCCTGAGAATATTAGCTATGACTCTGGTGAGGCTAACAGTGGGCATTATAACTAATTGTCTTACAGGGACTTCTGTGAAGGGGGAAAAAAAGGTGACTATCAATCTTGAATATCTGTGTCTCTCTAGGTCAAAGATATTAAAGTTTGACTTTAATCATTCAATGAATATTTTTAAATGCCTTCTTTGTGGCCATCACTCTGTAAAACATTACATTGAGTATAAAGAAGTCTAAGATGTCTGACCTGTTCTCAAAAGTATAGAAACTAGCTAAAGGGACAAGACTGTTGTAAATTTAGTACCATGAATACCATTTTAATGCTAACCAGCTGATGATATCAACAGATACAACAGAGACTTAGAGAATGGGGTCTTGGTTGTAAAGTTGGCCTAGGTGAAGAATATTTTATGTATTAGAAAGGATTCATTGAGTCCTGAGGGATGGGTAAGATCTGTTTGGGCAAAGAAAGGAGAAAAGGGGAGTTCCAGACATAAAGAAAAAGGGCATGATCTTGGGAGTGAACCTGGCACACGCATTTTGGCCATGTGACAACAAAAGAGCAGAATTTGCCCAAAAACCAAGTTCAGAAGGCAGGAAGGGGCAGGAAAGATGGGCTAATGGAAACAGGGATCGCAGGGAAGAGGTGGGAAGATGCTGTTACATTGAAGGGATCACAACTCATGGTACAAAATAAATGTGTATAAATTGTGGAATTGGAAACTAATTTGCTCCGTAAATTTTCACCCAAACCACATTAAGTGTTCAAAAATAAAAGAAAGATGCAGTAACAAATTAGAGCAATTCATAGTTTTGAAGAGAGAAAGAATTAGGGCCAAGGGCAGCCACTGAGAAACTGGAAATCCCATTTTAAAATGCTGGTCAGATGTGCAGGTAAGAAGGGTCAACTCCCCATGGACAGTTTATGGCCTCAGAACATCCCTTCTCCCTCCTCAGTGATCTCACCACTAAGAGGAACCCAAAGGTTTCTGTAATGGAGACATTGTGAGTGTTGTCTTCAGGTTGCAATTTAGCAAAGGATCCAGAATTACCATTACTTCCAGTGAGTGTGCCCATGCTCATGGGCTCCTGGTCTGAACAGAGCCTTGGTGAGACCCAGAATCAGTGTAGGAACCCACATTTCTGGATTCCCAGTGCCTGACTATAAAACACAGATTTAGTGGCAAAAGCTTTCAATCACTGCTATGTCCCTGGAGATCTAAAGCACTAGAGCAGTCAGACATGTGTTGCCACATGGTTTTGAATTAAAATGATGCGTTAGAACCTGGAGTGGCTGAACTTACACACTGGAAAACTGATTCAGTCTTGCTAAGGCCAGCAGCACCTTATCCTCTGTCTTCCCCTCAGCCTGCATTCCCTCAGCACCTGGACACCCTGCTGTGTTCCCCTCCCCACCCCTGACCATGACAGTCACTGAAGGCTGACTAATCCACTGGGATGTTGAGATGTGGTGATGGTGCTAATGTCCTCTTGTAAAATAAGACATTTACCCTCCAGTAAAAGAGTTAGACTTTAGGGCCTTAATCTACAGTGACGACAGCCCTCCCCTCACCTCTGGGTATTTGGAGAGCAGAAGGGAGAAAGCAGAATCCTTTCGGCCAGGGTTTTAGATCTCACAGATGAAACCATGGAGCCCACCCCCTGCTCTGTTTCTCCAGAGACCCCACAACAGGAGGCTCTGCCTTTAACTCGGCAATCCAAGCCTTCAAAGGGCTGGTTTCCTTGGTTTCAGGTCCAGCTGGATGTCTGTGCCACCAAGGCTACCCTGACTGGTTTAACAAGTGGAATGCATCTCCCAGTCCGAGAAAACTCATCCACATGATGAGGGTCTTAAGCAACTGAGAACCACAGGGACAGGAAGCTCTAATCCCAAACCTGGTGTAAACTCTCTGGGTGGCCTCAGCCTGTTAATCCTCCCAGCAAACCTCTGCTTCCTCTCCTAAAGGCAGGAGGTCGGAAAGAATAAACAATGAGAATCACATTAAAAACACAAAATCCCACGGAAATACTGAAGAATGATTCCTAGCACTAAGGAAAGCCTCCAGCAACTCCTGCTTCCTGAGGTGACAAGTAGAAACTGTGACTGTTAGTCAGTAGCACATTATCATAGCAACACCCTGGCAAGTCTTACCAGCTACACCATTACTCAGTACTTCATCGTTTGTCAAATATAATTTTATATGGAGACCCTTTCACTGGTTTCTCAGAAGAACCTGGAAAAAGACAGCATTCCATTTTACAGATGAAACCCCTGAGCCTTTTGGGGGCTGGTAGGACTTGCTCAAAGCCCCACATCTATTCCATGGCAGAGCCAGGGCTTGGACTCAGGTGTTCTGATTTGTAGTCCAAACCCTTTATTAATGAGACAGAAATCTCCTGGCGATGCAATAGGTATTCCAACTTAATGCCAACATATCATAAAACTCCAACTGCTGTCAAAGCCCAGCCTAGATGAGGGAGACCACTCAGATCCCAAGCTGTACACTGTCTTTGTTGAGCCTTTTTCTATGTTTGTTCTTGCCCTTCTGCTGACCATATATTGTTTACTGAGCCTGCTGGGGTTTCAGTTAAGTTCCTATTAAGAGGCAGTAACAGTGGTATCATTAAGCACCAATGAATTGTTTCCTTGAACAGCAGGCAGGGCTTGGCAGATAATTTTTACTGAGAGCCTGGCCTCTTGACCACAACTCACAACTGTGCCTGTCCCTAAGTCCCATCCACTGTGAGCAGCTGGTTCCTAAAACGTTCTTTCCCATCCAAAGCCTGAGAACATGACTCTTCAGCCCTGTCACTGGCACCTGAACTCCATCCTGGCTGGGGGCAAGGAGGGGAAGAACAGCATCTCCTAACCCCATGTCCTCTTGGCCCACAGTTATCCAAGACCCTGACCCTGCTGTGTACCAGCTTCAAAGCCCTAAATCCAGCAACATGTCCGTCTGCCTGTTCACTGACTTTAATTCTCAAGCAAATGTGTCACAAGCCGCAGGGTCCAGTGTGTTCAGGTCGGGCCAAACTGTGCTGGACATGAGGACCATGGATTCCAAAAGCAACGGAGCCCTGGCCTGGAGTGACAATGTGGATTTTGCATGTAATAACATCTTCGAGGAGACCGACGTCTCCTTCAACTCAGGTCAGTATAGCATGGAGGCCTGGCTCTGCCCAGGGTATAGGTCAACGGGGTCTAAAAGCCACTCTGATGGGTCTCAGCCTCAACAATTGTCAGAAAATTGCCTGCCCTCTTTTCACTAAGGGTCAGCAAGCCCCATCCTGATAATCTGCACAATATACTGGGCAAAAAAGCAGATGGGGAGAAAGAGGTGGGGGTGGCCCCTGGCCCAGAGTTGGCCTCACCTTTCCCTGTACAGGCCCTGGGATTCCCATTCCTGCCTGTGTGTGGACTGTTGGCCACTCTCCCAAGTTCCAATGCCCCCTCTCCAGGTTACCTTCCTTTCTCTCTCTGTTTCTTCTAAGAGATCTTTCCAAGCTCCTTACCTCACTCATTCATTCATTCAACAACCATTCATTGTGCCTCTAAAATGTGCCAGGTGCCAGGTGCCAGGGTGGAGGAGCAAACTAGTCAGATAAGAGGTCTGTGGTGAGGAAGCTCCAGTCCAGTGAGGGACCATCCATAAGCTGGCAAAAAACTAGATAACTTCAGATTGTGACATGTGCTTTAACTCAGGGTTGAGGAGACAGCCACTTTGGGGACAAAGGTCAGGAAAGGGCTATCTAAGGAAGTGCTATATGAATGAGGTAACACCTAATGGATAAGAAAGTACCAGCCACACAGAGGGCAGAAAGAGGATCCTGTGGAAGCCCTGAGGCAGGGACAGAAATGGCTGAGGCACAGTGAGAATAGGGAAGAGTGGTAGGACACAGATTAAAGAAGTAGGCAGGGGCTAGATCAGAGGGTCTCGTAGGTCTGAGAGAGAGGGTGGATACTATTGTAAACACGCTGGGAAGCTACTGATAGGTTTTAAACAGGGAGTGACATCTAATTTATATTTTTAAAAGATCACTCAGACTACTGAGTGGAAAGTTGACTGTAGGAGCCAAGCATGGAGCAGAAAGGAAGTTATTACAGAAGAAATGATGGAGACTTGGGCCAGGTGGAGGCAGGAGAATTAAGAAATGGCCAGCACTGTTTTATGTTTCAGAGGTAAAACCAGGCAAGGATGAGAGGAAAGGAGGGGATCAAAGAAAATGGCTGAATTTTATGCCTGAGCAGTAAGTCAATAATAGCATCATTTTTTGAGATGGATAAATAGCAAATGGGGGAAGCAGGGATCAAAGCTTTCCAGACTCACGAAATGATCTGTACTCCTTATGGCACTTGTCACTGTGTACATGTCTTACTGCCCCTACCAGCCTGGAATCTGCCCAAGGCAGGGTCTGGGTCCTGTGGCCTTGTGTCGTTATAACATGTACTTTATGCAATCATTGTTTGTTGAGTGAATGAAATGGTGCCAGGGAAGCCAGGGTGTTGGTCGTGGCCAGAACCAGTGGCTCTCGCTGGCAGGTCCTCATAGCTGTAAGTTCCTTCCAGATCTCTCCACATGGGAAGGCTGTAGCTCGATGATCACCTGCCCGAGTCCTAGAAGGTCTGGGGTGGGAGAGTCAGCTAGGCTCTAGACTGTAAGAAAATGTCTTTGCTTCTGTTTTTAGGACTACCCTGTGATGCCAAGTTGGTAGAGAAAAGCTTTGAAACAGGTAAGGTAAGAGTGTAGCCTGGCTTCACACAAGGTTGGGGAGGCTGTGAATCCATAATAATTCTGACTGGATAAAGGAGGTAGAAGGAATTAGTGGATCTTGGAATAAAATTATGAGAAAAGGGAACAGCAGTTCAAGTCCGCTCAGAGCTGGCTGGGGCCAACTCTCACTATCTCTAATTTCTTTTCCACAATAAGTACTTTGAAGATGAGTCTCTAGTTTTACCAGACAAATAACTCATTCCTAGGCCTCTGCATGCCTTTCAATAGTTCCAATGTTGGGAGAACCTAAGAGAGTATCTGGTTGACCCTCCATGAAATTTCTAACTCCCTTATGTTATGTAAGGCATTTGACTGCTAACCAGAAGGGTGGCAGTTCAAACCCACCAGCCACTCCTCAGAAGGAAGGTTGGGTACTACTTCTGTAGTGATACTGCCTCAGAAACCCAAGAAGGGGTCGCTATGAGTCGGACCCAACTCGACAGCAGTGCGTTTGGTTTTTTCTTTGGTATATGTTATGTACAGCTCTAAACAAATCTCCTGCAGTCATCCCCTCTATATCAAGTGTTCTTTGCCTTATTTCAAGAAAAAAAAAATGCTAATAGTGCTCACAAGAGTTCCTTCAACCGCTCCACCACCTACCCTGAGCCATACTGTCTCTAGTTGAGCTGTTCTTATGACTCATCCCTCCTATGGCTTAGCCACTAGATTGTTACCAAGGGGCCCAGACCCAAGAGGTTACAGCTACATCCTGAGCACTTACCCCACCCCTGCCCCAAAAGGAATTCAGAAAATAAGGGTAAGTCTAGTTGGTGATGTTCTTTTAAGATAAAATCCTGTTGAGCCTGAAGGGATACACAAATATCTTTGTGAAAGGGAATGAAGCCCACCTCACACAGACCCTGCTTTGGGGAAAGTCATTGGTGTGTCATAACGGTGCTGGGCAGAGGTGTGCATGCCCGTAACCTCTGTGTTCTCTTGGTCTTACAGATATGAACCTAAACTTTCAAAACTTGAAAGTGGTTGGGCTCCGCATCCTTCTCCTGAAGGTGGCTGGATTTAACCTGCTCATGACGCTGCGGCTATGGTCCAGCTGAGGTGAGTGGGCATCTCAGCTGGGGGCAGGGTCGAGGGTGGTGAAGGGCTTGGATGTGTCCTCAAGGCCTGAGACCATGCCTCCCTCCAGGTCTTGCTTTTAAGTCCTTTTCCATTTTTCCCTGTTAATAACAGGAAAGCTACCTTGTTAATAACAATGCCCTAACTCATTATATAATACACTCATTTCAGTCAGTTGAGTTATGTCTCCCCTATGAGGCATGAAGAACCGTTGTTATTATCCCCATTTTAGAAATGAAGAAACTGAGGCTAAGTAGCATCAAGGGCCATGCAGCTGATGAATGAAAAAAAAGAAAAACTCAGGCCCTGGGCTCTTATCCCACATAGTTCTATTGTACCTCTTTCACCGCATGACCTGGAGAGGCCCCAATTCCTTTCCTCATCCTCTTGCCCTAATATTTCTCTCTCAGCTAAGGAGATGTTATACTCCTATTATGCCCCAATCCTGGCTAGAATCTCCACAGCCTTCTCCCCCCATGGCCCAGGTCACCCTGATGACAAGTACATTCTGTTCCATTACCATCAGTAAGAACTCCAAGTCCATTTGCTCCTAGACCTCTGCCCAAGGAAGTATCTGGTACATGGCACAGCCCCAAACTACAGCATCTTCATATCATCTCCTAACAGCCCCGGGTCCTCCTCAGTATCCAACCTGACTTCTGTTCTTCTCATCCAGGTCACCAAGATTGCAGGAGACCTCTTGCTCCCTTGCTGCTCCTCATCGCCCACCCTCTCCCTCTCAAGCAGAGACACGAACTCTCCACCCCTCACGGAAGAGAAGGCTCCCACTGACTCCCTAACCCCACCTGGCAATGTCACTGCCTAGATCCTGCTCAACATTGGTGATCAAGATGCTGAAGAGATCAGATACACTGCAAGCCCCTCTGTTCCCTTATTGCCGCTTTCACCACCCGACATTCACAGCAAGGGTAGAGGCTGTTGATACCTCTCCTGGCTGTGGAGAGATCCCCTTCCAAGAGACTGCCTCTGATATCCCACTGGGGACCCACCACCAGTTCTCTTGAACTCTATCTCCTGGATAATGTTTTGAGAAGTTTATATATACCTATTTTTTAAATACTGTTTATACAGAAATGCATACTACTCTTCATCCCAAGAAATGGAGGAAATTATCTCATTATCTAGGCCCTGCTTTGCTGTCTATCTGAATTGTGTTGTATATTCTGCTGCCCACAGCTTCATTAAAAGTGATTTAAAAGAGCAAAGGCTGTACTCCTGTTTGACTGGGTTTGGTTGGGGTCATTTTCTGATTGCTGTTGGTCACTGGCTAGACAGAAGGAAACTGGCTCGTTTGTCCATAATGCCACATACAGGGAGCCTTATTTAGCAAGCTGCTTATGTCAATCTCTTCTCGGAATCGCCTCTGAAATCACCCACTTCTGAACAGGGCCCTGTTCTGTCTGCATGCCACACCACTGGGCCACCCGTAGCAGAAGGCCCATGCACATGGGGTCACTATAGTTGACATTTGGCATTCAGAACCACAGAGCAAATTTCCCAAAGCTCCACCCAGTTTTACACTCTCCAGGAACATTCCCTTTGCCTCTCCTTTCGGAGAGGATTTCTGTTGAAACTGTGCAATGTACCCCAGATTCACAGCTGGGAATCATCTACCCCACTGCCCATATACCACACAGTGCCTAGACCCCGGAGGGACCCAGCCCAGGAGCATGGTGGGGGGAAAGATGACCCTAGCAGGACTTTATATTTCCACCATCTAGATATGAGAATGAGGAAAGGGGAGATGTGCTCTCTCCCCACAAGTCCAGAGACTCGACCAAGGAGATTAGATTCTCAAACCCACACCTAGAGGATAAGAGGTGGGATTCCCTGAGGCTCCAAAGGGCACTACTCTCTATCCTAGTATCTTTCCAAAGCTGCCAGAGCACCTTTCCCAGGGTTATGAATGCTAATGGGAACATGCCTTAGAGACCACTCTACCATCATCTAGCAGTTATCCCTACCAAGATGACCAAAGCAGAGTGCTTACCCATTTCTGGGCATTCTATTCCCAAACACCTGTGTGGTTCACCTGTGGGCTGAAATACAAATCCTTCTAGCTATAACTCAGGCCACTTCTTTCACAGGGATGGAGCCACATGGGGCACACTTGCTCCCCTCTATGAGCTTCAAGTTCACCACCTACAAAGTGTCAGGTAGAATCGGAGGCCACCTCCAGCTCAGTATATCTTGAGCTCTGTGACCCCTGTAGAACTAAGAACCACCATCCCATCTCCCCATCTCCTTGTTGGCCCCAACAAGGGTAGTCACAGAACCCTCAGTTCCCTCAAGCTGCCTCCACTTCAACCTAAATACAGGTCCCTTTCAAAACCACTAAAGGAGCTCTGGTGGTGTAGTGCCTAAGGCATTTGACTGCTAAGCAGAAAGTTCGTGGTTCAAACCCATCAGCCACTCCACAGAAGGAAGACTGGGCAATCTACTTCTGCAAAGATGTAGCACCTTGGAAACCCAAGGAGGGGTTGCTGTGGGTCGAAATCAACTCGATGGCAGTGAGTTTGGTTTTTAGTTTAAAGGGAAAGAGTGGGCAGTGCTGATAGAGTTACTGCCTTTCATGTGAGAAAACTGGACTCGATTCCCCGCCAACACACATCACGCTCAGCCACCACCCATGTGTCAGCGCAGGCTTGCATGTTGCTATATGACGTTGAACAGAGTTCAGAGGAGCTTCCTGTCTAAGACAAACTAGGAAGAAGGGCCAAGTGATTTACTTTTGAAAATCAGCCAATGAAAACACTATGGATGACAATGGTCTGGTCTGCAGCTGGTCATGGGGATGGCATGGGACCCAGCAGCATTTCATTCCACTGAGCAGGGGTGGCCATGAGCCAGGGGCCAACTCCACAGCCACTAACAACAACAAGGGGAAAGAAAGACTCAGAGGCAATCACATCATAGCAGGGTCACTCACACATGGGGACACAGGTACTGTCTTCCCAAAGATGGCATGTGCCACCTTCAGGAAACTCCAGAAGGCCTCGTGCTCAAAACTGCCTCCTCATTAGTCTGACACAATGCCAGAGAGTCTACCATTGGGAATTTATTTTAATTAAAGGAGTCTCTTTCCTGTATTAAATGAAAATGTCCCAGGACGGTTAATAGAGCAAGCCTTTATCAACAATTAAAAACTTGGGGCAAATTACTTTTTTTTTTTTTTTTCCTGAAGTGGTAATTCACTTTTCTTTATATAAAACAGATCAAGGCAAGGGAAGTATGAGTGGCTAGGAGGAAGGCCAATTACTGAGATTTGGATGCAGTGAGGCTGAGAATGAGAGGACTCAGGTGCTTGGGGCAGGATCCAGGAGCAGGGGCCCTGGAAGGCAGAGAAGGCACCAAAGACAAATCCCTCCAAGAATCACAGAGGAGCCCAGACTGAAGGAGACCTATGGGAGCCTGGGAACTCGTGCCAGCCCAGAGCTCTCAGATGGCAAGACCATGCATGGTAATACAAGATGATACACAGGGACTAGGGATCCAGCCTGGAGGGAGGAAAGCCTCCTCCTTTCAGGTCCAGCCTAAGCTGAGGTGCAGGGTGATCAGGCATTGGGCAACTTGGAGGCCAGGTAGCAAGTAGGGTCAGCACCAAGCCCTAACAGACCAGTTGTCGCTGAGTCAGCTCTGACTCATGGAGTGTGTGTCAGGGTAGAACTGTGCTCCATGGGTTTTCAATGGCTGATATTTCAGAAGCAGATCACCAGGCCTTTCTTCTGAGGCACCTCCAGGTAGACTCAAACCACCAACCTTTCGCTTAGCATCTGAGTGTGTTAACCATTTGTACCACCAGGCCTCTCACCTCAAACCAAGTTCCTCAGTCTCAGGAAGGACAGTCCCTCAGGTCTGAGGCAGTTGTACCTGAAGCCAGTCACAGCTAAGCAGAAGAGTAGACCAGGAGCAAGTTAGTGTGGGGAGGGTGGGGTTAGATATTCTACTAGAATTGATCACTGTGTTCTCATGCCTGGCTCCAGGCCCCAACCTGAGACCTCAGGGGATTACGTAAGTAGCCTTGTGGGAAGACCACAGATAAGGGTACCTATGTTCATGAGCTGGTAGCATAGTGGCTAAAGCACTTGACTGCTAACCAGAAGGCTGTCGGTTCAAACCCACCAGCCACTCCTCGGAAGGAAGGTTGGGCAATCCTACTTCCGTAGTGATACTGCCTCGGAAACCCAAGGAGGGGTCGCTATGAGTCGGGGCCGACTCGATGGCACATAACAACAACAACAACAACAATGTTCATGAGGAAGATCAGTCCTGAGCCCAGAGCTGCTACAGCGGAGCCCCTCAGTGCAGACAGTCCAGCAGTAAGGTACTGGGCCTTGTTTAGTCTGGAGGAATAAGGCAGCTGAGGAAACCTGGAGATGTGGTCATCAAGTCCATAAGAAGGTCTGAGGAGCCACTGTCCCCGTGAACCAGGGTCCTGGGCTGAAGCTATAACTGGACTAGCTTGGATCCAGCCGCAGGGAAGGCAACAGACATCCCAGCAGTGAACATGTTACAATGGTGGATTTGTCTGGACAAATGCCCTACTGTTTCAAAAGGCTTATTATGTGTGGTCTAGCCCTGGAGGCAGAACAAGGAAGCAAATGACCTCTCATGACCCTAGGCCTAATACTCTAGAGGATTCTCTGTAACTTCACTCAAAGGCCTGCCCTTTTTACAGTCCAATCAGAGAAAGGGCAGGTTCAGTAAGTATGTGTGGCAGGAACATTCATATGGGGTCTTCAGCTTGACAGAGCCATCCCTCTGCTGTTATCCACCACTGAGTCTTGAAGCATTATCTCTTGATTCTCTCATAAAATCTAACTCCCCCTGGGTCATGTGTAAAGCCCTTAACAGATATCACCTTAGTTACCAGGTAACATCCAACAAGGAAGCCCACTAGACTATGTGCTCGTTGGAATGAGAAGCTGCCCTCTCATCATTGCGTCCACAACATCAACCA